CGTTTTACAAACTTTCAGCAATAAATAATACTGAATTTACGTACTCTCCGAAAATTACCGAAAACTGTAAATAAAAATTACTGATCTAAACTGTAAATGGCTGCAATTCTATTATACTGTAAAAAAAAGTGGCGAACGTACTGTAAAACTAGTCTTTTACAAAAACAAATGGTAGTAAAGCACCAGATTCTTGTAAATATTACAAAACAGATTTGTAAATGTCATACTGTCAAAAACATCCTTTGTCGGTATTTCGAGTGGAGTGTTGTTTCGAAAAGTAAGCATTTTGCTATAGTCTGCTGAACATATGGAGAGGAGAATTATTTTACTTTAAATTCGATCCTTGGACTTAAGGTGACCTGATGTTTCCCTCAACTGCATGTTGCCGTCGATAACCTGGTTTAGATTCCCTGGATCTGGACCTGAAGAATCCTTTTCTTGGCGTCGCAAATTTTGCTGTGTTGTTCAAAATACCAGGGAAAATGCAATAACATATATTTTAATGGAACAAACAGTTTGTTAATTAAAGCTGATTAAATTGCAATTTATATAACCACAATGGAAAATAATTTACAGATATTTCGGTTAAAACATTACTGAACGCTATTGTAAACTTTACCAATCATTCAGTATTATTCACAGTCCAGGTCAGTAACTTTTGACAGCTCAAGAGGTAAGACAAATTTACCTAATGAATTGTAAATCCAAAAAATTACCAAATCGATTACCGAATGTTCAGCTGTTCCATATTCGGTAAAAAATTACAGTATACTGTAAAAAAAACTTAGTGTGTAGTGAAAACTTAGATGATTTTCCATTAGTTTCTAGATGTCTGTTCCCACCCATTACATATCACCAGTTTTTCACCATGAAATATATCAGACAATATTCATATACATCTTATCTATCGCTAACCACGGTCGAACCAAAGTATTATCAAGTACTAAGTATGTGAAATTACGATAGAAGTCATTCCATATCGCAGTCATAGTTTTTAAGTGATAATCCAATGGAATCTATTAATCATCGAATAGAAATTGTAATGTAGGAAACATCAGCAGACATCTTCAAAACATTAAATTTTTAATGTGTATTGCCGTACCCTTAATGTATTCAGGCTTCAAAGTGACGTCCAAGTACATAAAAATACATTAGCCTCAAACGTTACTGTTGCCACACTTCCTGGGCACAACGATGTAGTGGAGATGACACCCAATACCGACTGTCCTACGGATATTTGACATGTGTCAGCAACAGATGAAATTTAAGAAGAAGAAATCTATCAGGGAAAAAGATCATAAAAAGATCAAACCATAGCGTTAGTGAAGATGTGAAAAAATGAATTAATTAAAATAATAAGTAAATTGATAAATAGTTAGTAAAGAAGATAGTGAGCTCGAATAATTACTGTATAATTCCTTAATCTGAGAAGAAAAAGAGTATTAATTGGTACGGAAACGTAAGAAAACGGCAATTAAACCAGTGCTTATAGTGTGCTTTACTTTTAGCTTATCATTGGAAAGTTGGATAACCTCAACAAAAATAAATTCTAGTTAGTCTAAGCAGCCAACACGGTAATTTAAACTACTAAAATTAGTACTCGAAGTGCTAAATTGTATATCATTACAGTTAGACAGTTAGATCGATGCTCATTAAACTTCACGGAGAAGAATTTGATGAAAACACCGAATAAGTAAGGTTACTTAGATTTCTTTCTATCGACATAAATTTAACAAACTCTTTAATAAAATTGCAGCTTGAAGCTGCCACAATTGGAGCTATCAAAACGGTGTTTTTACTACGTCAACAATCTTCAAGTTATTCGTCCACAGAAGTATTGTGAGACCGGATTCAGAACCGTATCGTTTGAGATGGATACAAACGAAAATCATTCTTGTAGTAAATGCTCCAGACGAGATTCTGCGGCAAATATGGTCTGCTGTGACGGCTGCGATGAATGGGAGCACTTTGATTGTGCTGGTGTTACCGATTCCATAAGTGATGCAAATCGGTCGTGGATGTGTTCACGTTGTACGGATGAGGGCCGAGCACGAGTAGCGGAGCCGATTGTTCCGTCGACTGAGCCAGGAGCAAGTGCGGTAACACATCTTGATCCTAAGAATACCGGAGCAATTCCGAAAGTAAGGTCCGAACCGAAAGAGGATGGAGCTACAGCCGTATCAGTAGTTTCGTGCAGCACGTCAGCTTCGAGTAAGAGATCGAGGAGGATACAGATGTGCTTGGACATCTTGGAAGAATCTAAAAGGCTGAAAATGCGGATGATTGAAGAAGAAGAAAAATACCTGCATGCGAAATTCGAGCTGTTGATGAAACTAGGAGATGAAGAGGACAAGAAGAGCTGTAAGAGTGGAGTAAGCGCTGGGACCAAAAGGGAAAGGTTGGAAAAATGGCTAATTGAGGGAGCTAAATCGCAGGACACCTACAAACCAGTTGAAGCTGGCTCTCGTAAGACTCCAGCAGTTCTGGATGAAGCAGCTGGACAGAAACGAGAGGAGAAAAAATCATTGATTTCTACTTCGAAAACGCAGTCGGTTTTGAAGAGTTCGGAACAGATTACTCCTGAGGGACTACCACAGCAAACTTCAACCCCGGTAACAGTTAGTCGCAATCCGTTAAATGATTTGATTTCCCCTACTACTATATCTTCCCATCCACTGGGACAAACGGAAAAGGTCTATGCGTGGCCAACACAAACAGCTCTATATGTTGGTTTGCCGGCCACTACAACTCTTGCTGGAACGAATCCTATACCGGGTCAGTGCATTACGGCTCCGGGGCAAGACAATGTGTCGTCAGTCGATGGAATGCTACAAACCACAACACAGCCATATATATATTCACAAGTCCCGTTAGGTAGTGTGACAGCTCCGGATAATGCGCGTCGAGCCAACACGAGGCTCGCGTTTACATCCAGTGGTCCTGCCCATAGTGTGCTAGCAGGGCAGATATCTAGCAGTCTGAGTAACCCTCCCTCATCGGTACAGTTAGGGCAATTATGGCCATCAAGTGTTCCGTATACTATACCGAGTCAGCCACCATTACCGGTGATACCCCCAGTATCAAGTCTACCGTGGGGAAGTGGAATCGCGCCCGATTACACACATGTACTCAATACAACATCCACGCACTCCTCTAACATGAGGCCTGATCCTAGTATACCAGCAGGTCTCGTCCCAAGCAGTCAAGGAAGTCATCCGTTATCGCTACCATATGGACAACCACTACCTCCAACTTTACCGTGGATGGTACCGAACCAGTTAAATTTATCAACACCTCCCAACGTATCGGGTCAAGCATTCATTCCAACATGGACACAAACAAGTGGTATGACGCAACCCATCAGTCATCAGCCTGGATACGGAAGTCAACAAGCACTACCAACGAACGTGGGTCCCACATCATCACAGATGGCCGCACGCCAGGTCATGCCACGAGAACTTCCGACGTTTTCAGGAGATCCGGAAGATTGGCCCATCTTTTACAGTTCGTTCAGAAATACGACTGAGGTTTGCGGCTATAGTGACGCTGAAAACCTGGCAAGACTGCAACGTTGCTTACGAGGTAACGCATTGGAATCGGTTAGGAGTAGGCTACTGCTACCTGCATCAGTTCCGTTCGTAATAGAAACGCTCCGAAAGCTGTACGGAAGGCCAGAGGTACTTATCAATTCCTTGCTGAAAAAAGTTAGAAACACACTCTCTCCAAAAGCCGATAATCTCAATTCGATTGTGACTTTTGGCTTAGCGGTCCAGAACCTCATCGACCACCTGGTCATCTCAGATCAGCAGTACCACCTTACCAATCCCTTGCTGCTTCAAGAGCTGGTGGAAAAGCTACCTACTTCAATAAAAATGCAGTGGGGATGCTTTAAGAATGCTATTCCTAATGTTAACTTGGTAACATTCAATGCGTTCATGACCGGTTTGGTGAACTTGGCATCCGAACTATCGATTAATGTTGAAGTAAGTCACTCAAGCACAAAACCCTCCCGGAGTGATAAGCATAAAGAAAAGCTCTTCGTCCATGCACAGGAACCACCTGTCCGGTCAATAGATACACAAGAGCCAAACGGTAATGAAAAAACGACACTAAACAAAGGTTGTACGTATTGCGACAATGCCAGTCATCAAATAGCTAATTGTGGGGCGTTTAAGGCATTGGATATCGATGGTCGCTGGAAAGCCATTCGCCAGAAAAATCTCTGCCGTACTTGCCTGATACCACATCGGAAATGGCCCTGTCGCTCAAATAAAGAGTGTGGTAAGGAAGGTTGTCGTATACATCACCATCACCTGCTGCACACAGACCGGAAAATGCACCCACAACAAAATACACCTTCCACATCCAGGATGAACGCAACCACAGCGAGTCGAATTGAACATCAAAACCACCATTTCAACAGATCTTTTGCTCTTTTCCGTTATTTGCCAGTAACGATTTTTGGAAATGGAAAACAGGTCAATATTTTTGCCTTCCTGGACGAGGGATCGAGTTCAACGCTAATCGAAGTTGGAGTCGCACAGCAGCTGGGAATCGAAGGTCCATTATCATCATTGTGGCTTTCGTGGACGGGAAATATAACCAGGGAGGAAAAAGAATCGAGGCGCGTAGAAGTTACTATCTGTGGAAACGGACTGAATAAAAGGTACACCATCGGGAATGTTCAAACGGTCAACGAGTTGCAGCTACCAACACAATCGTTCGACTACGAAGCTCTGGTGAGACAGTACCCATACTTGAAGGGACTTCCAATAGAAAGCTATTCGGAGGCTACACCACGGATGATCATCGGACTGGAACACGTACGACTACTAACAACGCTGAAACTACGTGAAGGTAACTCCCAAGGTCCGGTGGCTGTCAAAACCAGACTGGGGTGGTGTGCTTACGGAAGAAAAGCGGAAAATGAATCTTTGCCGATACCTCATTCTCTGAATCTTCACAACACCGTGACAGTTAGTAACCAAACACTGCACGATATGATGAAGAGGTTCTTTGAGGTCGAGGAGAGTACAATTACTCGGAAGCTGATAGCAGATGATGATATACGGGCACTAGAAATCCTTGAGAAGACGACGATCCGAAAAGGAAACCGTTTTGAAACGGGTCTGCTTTGGCGAACCGACAATCCATCGTTTCCTGACAGTCTACCAATGGCTACGAAGCGATTGATTTCTCTAGAAAAACGACTATCACGAAACCCAGAGCTGGACCAGAAAGTTAAGGAGCAAATCGAAGCATATGAAGCAAAACAGTATGCACACAAAGCGTCACCAGAAGAGTTGGAACAGTCAAACCAACAGCGAGTGTGGTATCTGCCACTGGGAGTGGTTACTAACGAAAAAAAGCCTGGCAAAATTCGATTGATTTGGGACGCAGCCGCTAAAGTCGATGGAGTAAGCCTCAATGATCTCCTGTTCAAAGGACCGGACTTGTTAACGTCCCTGCCAGATATCCTGCATCGGTTCCGAGAGAAAGATATAGCAATCTGCGGAGACATCGTCGAAATGTTTCACCAGATGTGGATCAAGGAAGAAGACAAAATAAGATTCCTGTTCAGGAACAGCCCGGAGGAACCTATACAAGTATACGTCATGGACGTGGCTACCTTTGGAGCTACATGTTCACCCTGTTCAGCGCAATTTGTTAAAAACAAAAACGCACGGGAATTTTTGGAGAGCCATCCACGTGCGGTCCACGCGATCACTGATAATCATTACGTGGATGATTTCCTGGATTGCACTGACACTGAAGAAGAAGCGATAGATCTAATCCGGGAAGTGAAAATGATCCATTCAGCTGGGGGCTTCGAAATAAGTAAGTTTCGATCAAACTCGCCCCAAGTACTTTCAGCTCTTGGTGAACAAGATTGCTCCTCCAGCAAACCACTTCGTTTGGACAAACAAGTTATTGAACGGGTTCTCGGCTTGACTTGGATACCAGCTGCCGATGTATTCACCTTTGATACGAAGAGTCTGATTGCAGCTACGAACACCTATAGCAGTGGTACCCCAACGAAACGCCAGGTCCTTCAGACAGTCATGAAGCTATTTGATCCACTCGGATTTATTTCGCACTATATCATCCACGGTAAAATCCTCATGCAGGAGATTTGGAGATCCGGCACAAACTGGGACGAACCTATCGCGAATCATTTGCTGGAAAAGTGGCACCGATGGATCGAACTGCTCGGCTTTCTTGAGGAGGTGAAAGTGCCACGCTGTTTCTTCAAAGGCGTACATTCCAACTCGATTCATGGACTTCAATTGCATGTGCTGGTGGACGCTAGTGAAACTTCCTACGCCTGCGTGGCTTACCTACGACTGGTGTACGAAGGAGAAAGAATGTGTGCATTAGTTGGTTCGAAAACAAAAGTAGCTCCTCTCAAACCGCTTTCGATACCCCGTCTGGAGCTACAAGCGGCGTTAATTGGAACCCGCTTATCGCAAAGTCTATTGTCGGCGCTAACTCTTCCGATCGAAAAGTGCTACTATTGGTCCGATTCGTCAACGGTCTTGTCCTGGCTCCGGTCCGATAGCAGGCGATATCATCAGTACGTGGCGTACCGAGTGGGTGAAATCCTTTCAATATCACACGTTACCGACTGGAGACACGTTCCGTCGAAACTGAACGTGGCAGATGAGGCCACAAAATGGGGATTCAGTCCAACTTTCGATCCCAATAGTAGGTGGTTCCGGGGACCATCGTTCCTATGGGAATCATATGAAAAGTGGCCATCCGAGGGAACAAGCAACCTTCCGACCACCAGTGAAGACTTACGCGCTGCTTTCCAACACCACTACTGTTTAACAACCAATCCTTTAGTTGACACTTCTCGTTTCTCCAATTGGAATCGCATGGTACGAGCAACGACTTACGTCCTTCGTGCAGTGGCCATCTGGCGGAAAAAACATTCCCCAAAACAAGATAAAGTTCTGCAAGGTAGTGAAATCCTGAAAGCGGAGAACATTATCTGGCGGCAAACACAGGCACAGGTTTATACCGACGAGATAGCGATTTTGAGCGGGGGATGTATCCCATCAACGATTCCAAAGTGCAGCCCGTTATTCCGACTTACACCCTTTTTGGACGAGCAAGGGATTATCCGCCAACAAAGCAGAATCGAAGCAGCACCCTATGCATCTTATGAGACAAAATACCCTATAATTTTGCCAAATAAGCATCGCGTGACGTTCTTGCTCGTAGACAGCTTCCATCGTCGGTTTTTGCACGGCAACAACGAAACTGTCTGCAACGAGATTAGGCAACAATACTATATCCCTCAGCTGCGTTCGTTGATTAAATTAGTTTCTCGGAGTTGTCAATTATGCAAAATCAACAGAGCTACCCCGAAACCACCAATGATGGCACCATTACCCAAGGTACGTTTGACACCATTTATACGAGCCTTTACGTTTGTAGGTGTGGATTACTTCGGCCCACTGGAGGTGAAGGTAGGAAGGAGTCTGGTGAAGAGATGGGTGGCCTTATTCACATGCCTGACTGTTAGGGCGGTTCACCTCGAATTGGTTCACAGCCTATCTTCCCAATCTTGCATTATGGCCTTTCGACGATTTGTGGCGAGAAGAGGGGCACCCAAAGAAGTATATACAGACAACGGTACTAATTTCCATGGAGCGGGTCGGCGGTTGAACGAAGAGAAGCAGAAAATACAACAGTTAAGCGAAGAATGTGCGGCGACCTTCACGAATACCTATACGACCTGGTATTACAACGTTCCAGCGGCTCCCCATATGGGTGGACCCTGGGAGCGTATGGTTAGAGCAGTGAAGACGGCAATGAAGGCGATTGCAGAGTATCCAAGACACCCGAGTGATGAAGTTTTAGAAACGGTATTGTTGGAAGCCGAGGGGATAGTAAACTCCCGTCCACTTACATACGTTCCTCTGGAAGACGCCAATCAAGAATCTCTAACACCGAACCACTTCCTGTTGTATGGGTCTACGGGCATCAAACAACCAGCGGTAGAACCCATAGGCAGCGGTGCTTGTCTCCGTGATAGCTGGGTGCTTGCGCAGAATATAGTCGATGGTTTTTGGAGCAGGTGGGTGACGGAGTATTTACCCATGCTAACAAGACGAACCAAGTGGTTTGAAAAGGTAAAACCACTCGAACCTGGGGATCTCGTGATGCTAGTTAATGAGACAATCCGGAGTTCTTGGGAACGAGGACGGATAATCAAGGTCAAGAGAGGTATTGATGGGCAGGTGCGGCAAGCAGTGGTTCAAACATCCCGAGGAGTCTTATCAAGGCCTGCTGTTAAGCTGGCTCTACTCGATGTGAAGATAGGAGGCAACGGTGAAAATGTAGTTAACCCGGCCGGTAGTGGGTCATCCCACGGGCGGGGGGATGTTGCCACACTTCCTGGGCACAACGATGTAGTGGAGATGACACCCAATACCGACTGTCCTACGGATATTTGACATGTGTCAGCAACAGATGAAATTTAAGAAGAAGAAATCTATCAGGGAAAAAGATCATAAAAAGATCAAACCATAGCGTTAGTGAAGATGTGAAAAAATGAATTAATTAAAATAATAAGTAAATTGATAAATAGTTAGTAAAGAAGATAGTGAGCTCGAATAATTACTGTATAATTCCTTAATCTGAGAAGAAAAAGAGTATTAATTGGTACGGAAACGTAAGAAAACGGCAATTAAACCAGTGCTTATAGTGTGCTTTACTTTTAGCTTATCATTGGAAAGTTGGATAACCTCAACAAAAATAAATTCTAGTTAGTCTAAGCAGCCAACACGGTAATTTAAACTACTAAAATTAGTACTCGAAGTGCTAAATTGTATATCATTACAGTTAGACAGTTAGATCGATGCTCATTAAACTTCACGGAGAAGAATTTGATGAAAACACCGAATAAGTAAGGTTACTTAGATTTCTTTCTATCGACATAAATTTAACAAACTCTTTAATAAAATTGCAGCTTGAAGCTGCCACAATTGGAGCTATCAAAACGGTGTTTTTACTACGTCAACAGTTACATTAGAATCAAACGTCTTGAAGATGTAAAATTTGACATCAGGACATATACCATAAACGAAGTGACAGACGACTTACTGGCGAAGAAATCCATTTAAATAATGTGGTTCACTGTAATAGAATTTTCTTGGAAGCTTGTGCGATCATCCACCAGATGGGTTAGTTTTTTTTGTTTTGAATTGAACAAAGTTGATTTTGTGTACAATGATTCTTTGACAGTGTGCAAAGAGTGCGTATCATTTTGTCATTTTTTTATGCATTTCAGTTTTGAGTAGAGTGAAAGAGATAGAACCAAAATATTCTAGTACATTTGGTGAAAATGCTAGTTCAATCCAATAGTAGTGTTGCCATGTGGTACAATCCAGTAGTAGTGGTGTTGCCATGTGGTACACTGAAAAATTGCAATAGCAGGTTAGTCACCAAAGTTTTCGAGCCGCTCCGTCTGTCACTTCGTTTGTGCACATACGTTGATATCAGAATTAAACCACAGACAAACAGACATAACTCTTGGAAGAAAATTCTTCAAAAAATATCTTCAAGCGTATTTTGTATGCGCACTAGCACCACAAACGAAGTGACAGACGGAGTGGCTCGAAAACTTTGGTGACTAAACTGCTATTTCAATTTTTCAGTGTACCACATGGCAACACCACTACTACTGGATTGTACCACATGGCAACACTACTACCATAGAGGTAACTCTAAGACCAGAATGTCCCGAAGAAACGAGCTCAAGTTTTTGGCTCAGCTCTGGCACTCTCTTTGGTCCCAAGCTAATCGATGCATCCCTCGAAACATAGGAAAATCCACGAACCCCTCATTTTATCTGTCAAATTTTCATAGCAAATCAAAACAAACATAGTGTAGCACTAGAGTTTCAACTAGAATGGGGTACGTTAATCGATTTGCTTGGGACCAATAGGCTAGTCAAGTAGTGAGCCAATTTAAAATCGTTAGTTTCGTATTGATTGTTGCTACTACTGGATTATACTAGCATTTTCACCAAATGTATTAGAATGTTTTGGTTCTATCTCTTTCATTCTACTCAAAACTGAAATGCATAAAAAAAATGACAAAATGATACACTCTTTGCACACTGTCAAAGAATCATTGTACACATAATCAACTTTGTTCAAATCAAAACAAAAAAACTAACCCATCTGGTGGATGATGGCACAAGCTTCCAAGAAAATTCTATTACAGTGAACCACATTATTTAAATGGATTTCTTCGCCAGTTAGTCGTCTGTCACTTCGTTTGTGCTAGCACCATCTATCATCAACATTCCCAAGCAATGTTTTGCAACCGGAGCATCCCTCGTGCATGTAATTTTTTCACTAGTTGCTTTTCCCTCGTTCTGTCAACGCGTCAGCTGCGTTGAATAAAAACAAAACAGATGGAAGTCAGTGATGTCGGTTCTATGAATTTTTCAGAAGATCTACACGGATAGAAATCTTCTTATACCTTTTGGCAAATTTCTATTGCTGATTATTCATAATATGTATAAGTCAACTAATAAGCAGACCTAGGGGGAGTAGAACTTGATATGAAGTAATATTTGGTGTAGAAATTGCTCATATTAGTAGTTATTATAGTTTTTAGTATAAATATTAATGATATTAACTGTCAAGTGGAAAGCTACAAAGTAAAAAAAAAATAACAGTGTAGCTTTAACGCATACACTCAATGACGTTTCACCGTTGTTGTTTATGTTACCTGCAGCTTTCTGTTTCATCATTTTTGCCTAGATTTTTGTTTTCGATAGCTCTGATCGTTTTCGCCTTCGGCTTTTTTGATGATAAAAACGGCACTCTCCAAATTGCAGGCTCATGGCGAATGTATTACGACCACGGAACCATCACTATGGGACTCCGTTTACACACTTAGATTTTTTTACAGTATACTGTAATTTTTTACCGAATATGGAACAGCTGAACATTCGGTAATCGATTCGGTAATTTTTTGGATTTACAATTCATTCGGTAAATTTGTCTTACCTCTTGAGCTGTCAAAAGTTACTGACCTGGACTGTGAATAATACTGAATGATTGGTAAAGTTTACAGTAGCGTTCAGTAATGTTTTAACCGAAATATCTGTAAATTATTTTCCATTGTGGTTATATAAATTGCAATTTAATCAGCAATAATTAACGAACTGTTTGTTCCATTAACATATATTTTATTGTATTCTCCCTGGTATTTTGAACAACACAGCAAAATTTGCGAAGCCAAGAAAAGGATTCTTCAGGTCCAGGTCCAGCAGGGAATCCAAACCAGGTTATCGCCGGCAACATGCAGTTGCGGGAAACATCAGGTCACCTTAAGTCCAAGATGACTGGAAGCGATGGCCTAGGATCGAAATTAAAGTAAAATAATCCTCCCCTCCATATATTCAGCAGACTATAGCAAAATACTTACTTTTCCAAAAAAAAACTCCACTTCGAAATAGCGGCAACGGATGTTTTTGACAGTATGACATTTACAAATCTGTTCCGTAATATTTACAAGAATCTGGTACTTTACTACCATTTGTTTTTGTAAAAAACTAGTTTTACAGTTCGCCACTTTTTTTTACAGTATAATAGAATTGCAGCCATTTACAGTTTAGATCAGTAATTTTTATTTACAGTTTTCGGTAATTTACGGAAAGTACGTAAATTCAGTATTATTTATTGCTGAAAGTTTGTAAAACGATACATTTTGCAAAGCTTTCGGTACAAAATACATTTTACAGAACGAATTCAGCAAAAAAAAGTACCGAATAGAATTTAAGAAATTTGGTGTGTACAGGAGCACCGTAGTCAGTCGATTCCCGTTCCATCGGAGGACTGAACATTGGATTGTAGACAATGAAGAACTCGTGAAAATTAATGATTATTTCCTGGAAACGGAAGTGCCCCAGATTATGTGCACTGAGATCAGCTAACAAAGAATACCAAATTTATCAGAACAAGGAGTGGATTTTGGTGGCCCTGGCCAGCAAGATCATCAAGGAATGACTTGACTCTCGTGTGAAATCCATGTTTTGAATGTCAAATGTGCACTTTAAACCAAAAATAGTTAAACAAAAAAAAAACAACTGTCAGACTAGGTGTAAGATTCGCAAATATCACACATATTAAAATATTTAATATTTCCACCATTGGTATTGATGCTGATACTTGGAGCCGTCCTTTCCCTAGGTTTGAAGCAAAATTATAACTTCACTGTCTGACGCTAAACTAACAAACTGACAGCTCGCTCCCATACAAAGTGACACCGAGGGGCGCTAATAAGGTGATTTCTGCAAATGTAATCGTGCTTATATAAAATAGTTCCAGTGTACCAAAATTGATGAAATTTTGGGTTTGGGTTCCATTTTTAATGCAGATTACGATTATGTATTTTCCTCAATACGCTTAAAGAACCCAATTACCGATCAAGCTAAATAGAAACCTCGGTAAAAACCCCTCGACATTACGTAACCGAAAATGGATTAAATTTTAATCCATCTTTGTTGAGTGTTGGCTAACCCAAATCTGCACGCTATTTCAAAACTACCCACATTTGGGTAGAATCCATCCAGATCGGTCAAAACTGAACCTACCCAAAAATGGGTAAGCTGTGTTGGGAGTTACAATTTGACAAATGAACAACATCGACATGAATCCGATTGACGTTGTTAATTTGTCAACTTGTCACTCCCAACATAAATTATCCATTCAGTGCCAACATTTCAAAGCGGGGTAATTGTATGTGTAAACAATGGCTTTAGCCGTCGATTTCTCGCGAATAAAAGCTCACTCATAAAAAATAATGACACCAGCAGGTGGTTTGCATCAAGTTAACCACCAAAAACCGAACCACAAAAAAATCGTGGCTGGTGGTGCGCCGTCTACATTTGAGGTTGAAAACAACAGCAAACAAAATTAGTGGCTGACACGGTGGGCGTAAACAAATAACTTTAAAAAATAAAGGAATGCATTGTTAGTCGTACAGTATCCCCCCCGCTTATCCGACATCACGATCTCTTATGGAACTATTTTTATACATTCACTAATAAACAAATACTAAAAACGAACAGCATCCCGGATGGTTATACTATCTCAGAAAGAGTTTGGATGATACCCCGAACACCTACATGCATGCCGTATCGAACGATAACGACTACGATGCGTAAACTTCGCAGTCTCCCTTGGTATGGTAGTAAAAAGAACCTTTTCCCCCGCAAAGATACCCAAAAAGCCTCCTGGAAATCACGCCTCACCATCAAAAATGTATACGAAGTTTTGTTTGCATATTTTTGTGAAAAATCTAAAAATACTATTCTGTCATTTGATTCAAGGATACTTCAGGCGGTTTTGTGCAAAATTTTACTTCTGTAGCTTGGGTTTAGGCTGACTTATAGCCGATTTACTGTATGCTGCCCAATGGGGAGAAAAATCGTCAA